CTCATCCCAAATTTAGTGCAGAGCCCAGCCTTATGCATCCAAGTTGGAAAGTTGCTTTTCCTTATGTGCATCACTTAGCATTTGTTTACATATGATTTTATGCACCACGTTATTACTAAATTACTTAGTAGCACACATAGGCACACAAATACACTCAATATGCACATACATATATGTATGTGTGCATTAAGGGCACTGTTGCATATATTTTAGACAAACACACACTTATTTAAAAGTTGTTGCTACTGTATTTAATTCCTCTATCTGCCAATTTCTGGAATTCAGTCCCCATCTCTTTTTTTTATTTTCATTATAAGCTTTACCCATTTCCTTTTCTTGGCTTTGCACGGGTTTTTTTTCTAACTGTTACTTAGGGCCTACAGTTTCATTTTTTATTTTCAATAGTGTTTTTTTTCAACTTGTTCTAGTTTTCTGTTCTCCTGGGATTCCAAGCTATTTCTGCGTACCAGGACCACCTTAGTAACAACTTTTCCCCTCCCCTCTAAAAACATAAATACTTTGGGTAAATAATGTTTCATAAGTAACTTACGGTATTTCCCTAAAAACAGCGTTTCTCCTTTTTGGTATGCTGAACCAAACAGTCGGCTCAGACACTGGATATATATTGCCTGCAGTGCCTACGGACAACCAAAGCGGATCCACTGATTTCAGTGATGTACGTTTGTTTACCAACATAACATCTGGCTTTATAAATTCCCTTTGATTCTGTATTAAAATTTTCAGGGAGAAGGAGTTTAAAATCCCGGCTGCAGAAAATCTCCCATTTTCCACCCCACCAAACCTCATCAAAACCCCAAACGCTATCATCGCTGCCCCAAGAAGCCAGCCCTTGCTGAGTCCCCTGCGGACTTCTGCACCTCGCAGTTCAACTCGGCTCCCTGAGGGCCAGTCTGCTTTTCCCAATTTCACGATGCTCGGTGATATTAAAAAGAAACGGACAATGAGAGGAAGGGTAGTATCTCTCCCGACAGGACCTCCTCTGCACTTTCAAAGCTAACGAAGTTGCCACTAATTAAGCCAAAAAGGAAGTGATCCACAAGCAGAAGATGGCAAATTCCCCAACCCAAGAGTCAGCAGCCTTAGCGGAGCCACCACCCCTCAGCTCACCCCGCAGCCATGAGGCATGAGCTCCTCGGCTCTGGAGAGAGCACGGCTTCCCCTGGGAGCAGAACAAGCAGCCTCAAGGTACCGCTACAATTCACAGGAGCAACTGCAGCTCACCAACACCCTGCAAAGCTGTCCTGTCACCAAAATAGCCACAGCAGGGACCCCAGCTTGGAGCACAGCCTGCAAAAACAGGTTTGCCAATGATTCAAGAAATGTAATCTAGCTTCTCCTCTATCTTTGATAATCAACTTATACCTCCCGTAAGCCCTGCTGCTGAGGCCAGTGCAGCCATCACTGACCACAGCTGAGGTAAGGTCAGACCTGGAGTTGGCTCAGTTAAATGTCTCTGACTCAAACACTAAAAACTCAACCCCCACTAGCTCCTACTTTCCCTCTCTCTTGGATTTGGGTAAGCCAAAAGGCGCTCTTGGCCAGCCACGGTGAGAGGCGTGTCTGAGCGATGCACGGCTGAACGCCAGGGACCATACGCTGCCGGTCAGCGGGAGGGCAAAACACTTCAGTGATGAACAAAACACAACGCCCCAATTTACCGATGAACGACCCCCACTGCTGCCAAGCGTACCCGAGGGGAGAAGCAGCTCAGTACCCAGCATCTTTCTTGGCAGATTACCACCGCACTGATCAATTGCTTCTCAATTACATGCATCCTCATACTCCAGACAGTAGGTCCCAGCTTCTTTGCTGAGATTGTTTACATTTACATAATGAAAGCACAAAACACAAAACCTTCCAGTTCCTCCGTGTACCCGCAGCATGTCACAACCAATTAATAAATTCTAGACGGGAGGAATTAAAAGTGACATCTCTGGAAAAAAATGTTACCCTAATTTACCACCAAAGAGCAATCTACAACAAAACCGAACAGCTGAACCACAACTGCAGACGCCTTTAACCCTTCTGGAGCCGGCTTATTTGCCCAACGGTCCTGTATGGTACAGCTTCCCCAGGAGGAGTGCTTCAAGCACTTTACTCATCATACTCAAAACCAGACCGGATAAAATAGTAAAAGATATCTCCTCTGAGCAAACTCGTACCAGCTGCAAGGCTGGACTGATGTCTTAAAAAGCCTTTTATCAGGATGCTCATATTCCCACCCATGTGCCTAAGGCTTCTCACCAAACACTGCTGCAAAATGGGAAGTGCAGCCCCAGAACCCCTTTTGGGCACAGTGTGCGAAAAATAAATAACCTGAATATCCCCAAAAGTGTCAGCCTCCCTATCCACATTAAGGGCAAATGATGACACAGAATAAGCCTTTTCCATGATTTAGCTGAGCGCTATTTCCAGGGACACGTGCGTCCTGCTACAATTTAAACCTCAAGGGACAAATGCGAGTGAAATCACAAATCCCCACAACTCTATTGTAAAGCCTCCTTTTGATTAAAAGCAGGTGCTGGCTTTGGCAGGCTGCAGATGCAGTCAGTGCTACTTCACCTCTCCTGGCAGAAGATGGAGGAGGGAGAAACAAGGAGCAACAGTTTCTATAGAATATAAGCGCTGTGCAAGTTAAAATTTAAATTAAAAAAAAAGGAGGGAGGGAGAGACAGAGGAAAAAGCAAACACAAAGAAATAATTCTGCTGAATGGATGAAATACTTTATCGTCTTGTCCTGGCTGGGGATTGACTTACTACAAGAAAAACACTTCAAACACTATTTATGCCCTTGTTTGAAAGTTGACTGGATTTGTCCTGTGGTTCAAAATGAGATATACCATTCACAGACCTAGGATAGTCTTAATATACATCTCAAAACTGGCTTCAGAGTAAAATGCAAATGGGAGGGAGATTTTTGAGACTGACTTAGAACTGAACTAACCAAAATATCCCAAATCTGTCTAATTTCTGGAGGCCAGAAGGACAGGAAAAGGGATGATGTCCTGTATCAGATCAGCAAATCCAAACCTGACCTTGCAGTTTAATTTCTAGGTCAGATCTATAAACTAGAGGAGATTGGCCATGAAAATATCACATTAAATTTACTCTCCAGCTGGGCTAAAGATAACCACTGATTTGAGAGCCCTTCTCCTGTTTGGAGAGCCAAGCATCCCAACAGGCTCACACTGCTCGCCAGCTGCAGTTCTCCAGCTACCCCTGTTGAAAACAAGCGATAAAAATTCAGAAAAACATAAGACCGATAAAAGCAGGTGAAAGGTCCACCTGGCCCGGCACAGTGTCCCTGAGCGCAGCCATTAGCAAACGCCCAGAAGTGAAGTGGAGGAAGAGGGCCAGTGATGCCACTGAGCACATTCACGATGTGACAAGCTGCAGGGCTGCGATTCCCGAGCCCGAAGCTGCGCCGGCAGCGGGGCCGGGCAGCTGCTGATAGGGAACACTCCTTCACGTCTGTCCGACTGCCTGAGGACTCTGGTTACGTGTCTGGCTTTCAAAAACATGGTATTAGTCAACAAACATGTAGCATTACCCATAATACCGCAAATGTCATATAATATATATAGTATTAATGATGTTAAAGAGTCTTTCCTGTTTACTTTCTCTTTCTGCCCGGTGCCTGCTGGCCGTGGACCGCCCAC